TGAAATGAAATTGTTTTGATCTAATGATAAGACATCAGTTTTATTTCCAAATCTAAATACTGTTTCACATTTTTTATTTTTATTATATTATTTTACTTCATTTTTCTCAACTCTTTTGTACTTATAAATAAAGACACTTGTTTCGTTATGTAAAACTGTGTAAGACATGAGCATTAAAGATAAAATTTAACTATTTTTAGATTAAAATTCCAAAATTTACCAAATTGGAAGTTTGAAACAATCAGTGAAATAGTATAATAAAATGCCACATGTACTTCAAAAAATGAAATCTATCATCTGTTAAAATAAGAAGTATACTCACTTTACTGTTTTCACAAAAAGAAAGGGCCAGTAAAAATATTTTAAAATTAAATTAGCTTTATTAAGTTTTTCAGACTTTTACTCATTTTAAGTCAATGTCTTTTATTCTGCAAATATATTTAATCATTTCTGCATTTTTATTAGAATTGTTAGTAGCAATCTTGTTACCTCATGATCACTCTGTGACCTTTGTGAGTTCATTTATGAATACATACAAAATACATCTCTCAATGGCATAAAAGTTTCTAAACTCTTGTTTTTGTTTGCACCTAGTTCAGAACTCTCGCTCTCACTTTGAAGCATACTTGTATATCTTGTATTTATTTATGTTTTTACTGCATAAAATGTGTTGTCAGAGGTCATTAAATTACCACTACATTGTATGTGTTATAAAAAGTTAGTAATTTTAATCATCTAAATTGGAAATTTTAACTATAATTTTTTCTGAACTTTCATTAAAAAAAATTAGGTGTTACTATTTTTACATTATTTATACTGCTAATTCAACATAACCAAATCATTAAGAACACAATTAAAAATGCATCATATGGCCGGGCACGGTGGCACACACCTGTAATCCCAGCACTTTAGAGGCCAAGGCGACCTGAGGTCAGGAGTTCGAGACCAGCCTGGCCAAAGTAGTGAAACCTCATCTCTACAAAAAATACAAAAATTCACTGCCTGTAATGGTGGGCACCTGTAATCTCAGCTACTCGGGAGGCTGAGGCAGGAGAATTGTTTGAACCCAGAAGGTGGAGGTTGCAGTGAGACGAGATAGTGCCACAGTATTCCAGCCTGGGTGACAGAATGAGACTCCATCTCAAAAAAAAAAAAAAAAAATGCACATACCATTGAAATTCATCATATATATTTAAATAAGAGCAATAAGTATTTTTCTTCCTAAAGTAATGTTGAATTTTCCATCTTTGTTTAATTCAAGTAAGACCACTGAGTACTCATTTCCATTTTGAACAGTCATTTTAACTTTACATATCAAAGCCTATTAAAATGAAATAATATCTATAATTATGTTTATTCCTATTTTTTAATTTAGAATTTTAAATTTATTTTAACCAGCTATGTTTTTTCTTCCATACTATCCAAAATCCACAATTAAGTGGGCCTCCAGAAGATAAATAAAGCAGTGTCAGTTTCTAACTATTTATTCTGATTTATTATTGAAAATACATCTTCCTTTCAGCTCATGTTTTTCAACCGTAAGGATCCTTTTTATCTCCACCCTTCATGTGTGAAACTGGGCACTGACTTCCCGGATTCAACCTGGGCTCAGTGTCATCAGCATCTATAACATTTTTATCTCTTTTTTGTAATCTTTTAATTTATGTTCAGGGGTACATGTGCAGATTTGTTATGGAGGTAAACTCATGTCATGAGGATTTGGTGTACAGATACCTTGTATTTATTAATGACAATCATATATAATGTAGTTAAGCATATCTGGAAGTTAATCAGTACATAGCTTTGAAAAACACAGTGATGTGTTCTCAAATCCAAATAATACTCCACATTTATTATTTTTATTATATATTTTGCTTCATTTTTCTCAAAACTATTATGTACTTACAAGCAAATAATACTAACATGATTTATTTCTCTATTATAAGATTATTCTTTATTTGAAATCAAAATCAATTTCTCCATTACATATCAAATCCGTCACCAATCCCCATGAACAATTCTCTCAGAATACATACTGAAACTAATTCTTCATATCTCCATGGCTATCACACAAGTCCTGGTTTCTCTCTTCTCTTATGTGAACTTCTGAAATGTTTTATTACTCCCATTTTTGTCCCCTCATCCATTTTTCCATCAGACACAGTGATCGTCATTGCTCCAACTCACTGAGCAGTCCAGTTCTTTGAACTGGCCATCTTTGTTTGGCCTTCTCACCATTCCCCCGGCTGGAAACTCAGTGCTAGGCATCTTTAGCTCCTTCTGCCATTGAAATCCTGTTTGTCATTTCCTCACCCCCTCACCATATGAAATTATCTTTTTGTTCTGTTTATTATTTATTTCTTATAACTAGAATATATAAGCACTGTGGGAGCAGAGTCTTGCCCACAGCTGTATCTCTGGCACCTGGAACAGTGCCAATTATGTAGTAAGTTCTTTCAATAATGTGAAATAGGAATATCAGCCCACTAATGAGGGACTTCTGAAATCACATAGGGTGCATAGAAAATAAAAGACTACTAGGAAAATTAATTTAGACAAAATTCAGTGTTACATTACCTTGCATGTTTAGACAGGAAATTTAGAGTCTAGCAAGGTAGACAAATGTCTGTGCTATCTCAGTGCAGATGTTTATTCTTCCTCAAAATATAGTTTTTAGCACCATGTTGAATATACCGTAGAGTTAAAACAAACTAACAAAACAATAGCAACAAAATATTGCACAGCCTTCTCCCTGAGTAGGCATGAATTCTTTTGCTCTGTCCATCCTTTGGCTCAGGTCAATAAAAGAAAATGCTGTCTTCCTCAGCTCTTCTTTTTTTCCTCATAGCCTATGTCTGATCCATCAGTATATCTTGGGAGACATATTCTCAAAATATATCCAAAATACAACCACTTCTCAAAATCTCTGCTGGTACCAACCTGGTCCAAAGCACCATCATCTCTCACCTGGATTTTTGCAATAGTTCCTGATGTGTCTCCCTGCCTCAACTCTTGCACCATATCACTATATTTTCAACATAATAGCTCAAGTCATTTATTAAATCATAAGTCAAATGTCATATCTGTTCATGATGCTCCAGTTTTTCCCTTCTCAGAGCAAAAGCCTAACTCTTTAGAGTGGCCTACGGGGACCTACCTTATTTGGTCTCCTTCAAACTTACTGACCTCATATCCTGACACTTGCTCTCTCTCTGTGACCAAACTATACCAGCTGCCTTGCTGTTCTTTGAACCTGCCAAGAATATCTTCACTTCAACGCCTTTCACTTGCCATTTCTTCTTCCTTGCCTGCACTGTTTCCACTTGGTTTGCTATCGTATTTCCTTTATGTAATGAATCATATTTACCACCAAATAATCAATGTAAATATAATCTGGATATTTGTTAGAAAATAGTGATAAATGTATCTTAAATGTGTGGTCCAACATAGAATTTAAGGCAATAGATTTTTACCCAAATGTTTGGATTGAAACCTAGCTCTGCCACTTAGAGGTTTTTCTCTAAATTCTTATAAATCCCCACTGTGCTTTTGGTAAAATAGGTATAAATACCCATCTCATTGAGTTACTCAGGAGATTAAATTAGATAATGCGAAGCGCTTTTCTAGCTCATAGTAAATGCTTCATTAATACTATTTTTAGTTTACATAATTCCTGCCCAATATTTATAATTGTATTGACATAGAATCAGGTTAAAAATATAATATGCATATTATTTTTTCCACTGGAAAGTTAATCCTACAAGTTTTTCCATGCTGATTAAAAAGTCTTAAAACGGGAAAATAATTTTGAATCCTATTTATATAATGGCATGCGTTACCGATGCCATGATTTAGCCATACTTCATCATTTTAAATTGTTTCACTTTCGGTTCTCTTTTATGATTGCATTTCAATATATATTCACCTGGATATGGTATCCCCTTTTTTGTAATAAAATAGTTTAATTATCAGTTGGGCATGGTGATTACTTCCTATATCCCAGCTGCTTGAAAGGCTAAGGTGGGAGGATTGCTTGAGTGAAAGAGTTCAAGGCCAGCCAGGGCAACGCAATCAGACCCATCTCTAAAAAAGAAAAAAAGAGTCAGAAAAATTTCATTAGTGTAAGTTCATAGATGTAACATTATTGGTTGAAGTTATCTGAAACTTATTTATGACTCCTCTGAAATTTACCCATTTTTTTCACATGCATGGTTTGAATTTATAGTGCTATAATATAAAAAATACACATACTAGTTCCATTTTTGTTGTTTAGAAAAAAACTGAGAAAAAATAAACATCTGATTTAGTGCTAAATGAATCAAGGACAATATTTATAGTGATTTAATCCATTTGTTATTAGCATTAGGACAAACTAAAGTACATGATGTCCAAGTTACTTCTTTAAATTCATGTAATTGTTTAACCTTTGTATTAAGTAGCTGTTTATTCACAATACATTTTTAACTAGAACAAATTAATAAGAAACAATAGAACATCAGAAATTGTAGTTATTTGATCATTTCTTTAAAAATTAAGAAATAATCATGTATCTGCTCAATTACTATTTACAGATCAAGAAGAGCATAAAGACATTGTTTGAAATTGATGTGTGTAAATACAATGGTATGCCTCTAAAAATTAGAAAAAAATGAAATTTTTATTTCATCTGAAAACTGTTGTGCCTCTTTGATCATTTGGCAAATCTGCCTTTCTCTTTCTTATCCAGAAGGTAAAGTAACTGATTGATCCAGTTACCCTACTGTTAACCATTCTACAGAGATCTTCTCATTTAAAACTTTGATACATGAATACTATCCTGAAGAAAATTAAATGATTGCAAAGTAGTGAAATCTAACAATAGAGACAAGAGGAATGAGTATGTGTTATTTCTATTTAATATGACTATTTTCTCTAATATTTTACTTAACTGAATCGATCAAAACTTGTAATAAATTAACTTACACATAACAATACTGATTATTATATTTTCTAACTTTCAGTATAAAGAACGTAACTCCAAAAGTAGGAGACCCTGAGACTCGTAAAGCTATTCGCCGTGCCTTTGATGTGTGGCAGAATGTAACTCCTCTGACATTTGAAGAAGTTCCCTACAGTGAATTAGAAAATGGCAAACGTGATGTGGATATAACCATTATTTTTGCATCTGGTTTCCATGGGGACAGTTCTCCCTTTGATGGAGAGGGAGGATTTTTAGCACATGCCTACTTCCCTGGACCAGGAATTGGAGGAGATACTCATTTTGACTCAGATGAGCCATGGACACTAGGAAATCCTAATCATGATGGTGAGTACATGTTTGTTTTGCAGTGTAAATACTTCTATTATTATTTCAGAATACTCAAGAGATTTAACAATTTACAAACTTAAGGTATAGATCCTAAATTTACTTTTAAAATTACAAAGCAATATGTAAGCATACTTTTATGGCATATTAGGATAAGAATTTGTGTGGGTCATTAGATAATATAGTTATATATGTGTTCTTTTGATTAAAGATTAGAACCTTACACTGTATCTATAAATACTCTAAAGTAAGTTTTATTTTCTTCACAATGTGATTCCTTAAAAGATTTTATAGTCGGTATTTAAGTCATGAAATACATATTAAGAAAATTCTGCTGTTTTTTACACCTTATCCCAGTGTTCCTACTTGTAATTTAATCCTGATTAGCATCTGTAGTCTGGCTTCTACTATATCTTTTCTACATTATTTTCTCTTCCATTTTCTTTTTTTTTTTTTTTTTTTTTTTTTTAAGTTTTTTTTTTTTTTTTTTTTTTTTTTGAGGTGAAGTTTTGCTGTTGTCGCCCAGACTGGAGTGCAGTGGTGCAATCTCAGCTCACTGCAACCTACATCTCCTGGGTTCAAGTGATTCTCCTGCCTCAGCCTCCCGAGTAGCTGGGATTACAGTTGCCTGGCACCACACTCGGCTAATTTTTGTATTTTTAGTAGAGGCGGGGCTTCACCATGTAGAGACCACCATGTCAGGCTGGTCTCGAACTCCTGACCTCAGGTGATCCACCCACCTCCACCTCCCAAGGTGCTGGGATTACAGACATGAGCCACCACACCCAGCCTAGTTTCTATTCTATTATTACCTTTCTAGTCTATAATTTTTGCAGGCCAGGCGCAGTGACTCACACCTGTAATCCCAACACTTTGAGAGGCCAAGATGGGAGGATCCCTTGAGCCCAGGAGTTTGATATCAGCCTGGGTCTGCTTTTTAAACAAACTCCTTCTGTTTTTTTAAAAAAATTAACATTAAGAAAAAAAAAAATATACACACACACACACACACACACACACACACACGTAATTTTTTGCTCCTTCTCTTTTGTCTATCATCCATTTCATTGGTCTCCCAATCTGATGGGACTATATAATTTATTATATTTTCATTACATCTTAATTTTTACCAAAGATCATTTTTTGCAACTATATGCCAACATATCTATCAGTTTTCTAAGCTTACAATTATTCTGATATGCAAAAATAATGTAAAACTCAGAAACCTCAATAACTTTTAGCTACTTAATATGAGAGTAGTTACTTAATATAAAAGGCATGTGTTTCTTCCTAGTCAACAATGCATATTTCAATTCTGTGTTTTAAAAAATTTGCAGTTATAGGATCATAGAATAAGATTTCTATATAGCCATATCACCAGTTTTTATTGTGAAGACTTATTTTTCTTCTGATTGTAGAATGTTATTCAACTATAAGTGTACATTTATTTAATGACAACTAATCACATAATAAAACTCTTAATTTCACCTTGATGAGTTAACCCTAGTCATGACATTAAGCTTTGTTTGTTCATAAGAGGGTTCAGTTACCTGGATTAGTGTAATTAATAGCCTTGCAGTTTTAGGATACCCAGGGTTCTGTCATGTTTTGGATAGGAAAAATTAGGTTGAGTTAAATTTCAAATAACATCAATTTCAAAGAAAAAATATAATAAATAACTGTTGATGTTTTCCAAAATAAAGTATATAGTAGTAAGATGATTTTTTTCAAATGGTTATTAATAGTTGTATGTGCTGTAATATTAAATTATTATTACATTTTTAAGAACAGGTTTGAAGACTAGTGGAGATTTTAGTATAATAGAATGAAAAGCCAAAAACTTTGGAGGCCAACAGACTTATGTTTACATGCTGGCTAATTATTCAAAAATGTGTAGACTTGTTTTTACCATGCAGTTTATATTGCAGGCCTATAAGCATTATAAGTAGAAGTGCTTTTTATGCAGGCATGTTTAACCTACTGTATACCTGAGCATCTAATAATAAAATATCTGGAACATGGTAGTTGGGGCATACCAGTTTGACACATAAATCATTTAAAATAAAGCATGTTTGTTTTTTTTTTTTTTTTTCCAAAATTACACAGGGATTCTAGTGAAATAATTCAGACTTCTTGAAGTCAATTAAAAAAAATTTTTAATAATATAAGAAATGCTTGCATTCTAAATGATTGACAAGAATAGCACTTATAATGGTAGAATTTTACTGACACAGGCTGCATTTACTTCCAGGGGAAAGATTTTCTTTTGATATTCTGAAAAGATAAAATTGTATTTTATTGCAATAATGGATCTAATCATTAAAACAATTGTAAATCTATAGTTTTGAAGATGTGTCAGTTTGACTTTGTGACCTCTTAAATTTAAAATTATTAAAATCCTATATGAAAGAAATATCTATCAAGTTCCCTATATTTTGTCTTAAAATATTGAAGTCCTCCATGAGGAAGGTTGCATGAATTCTTTAGCTATAAGCTTTATTAGCTAGGTTTTTTTCTTTTCTTTTCTTTTCTTTTTTTTTTTTTTTTTCCAGAGACAGGTTCTCGCTATTTTGCCCAGGCTGGACTTGAACTCTTGGGCTGAAGCAATCTTCCTGCCTTAGCTTCCTGAGTAGCTGGAATTACGGTATTACCTGGTTTTTAGGCATCAACCAACACTCTGAAAATAAAGAAAATCTTTTGGGAAAAAATCTACAGGGAGATTTTATGAGAAGAAATAATAATGTTTACACGGATTTGAGTGTGGTCAGTGCTTAGAATGCTTAATAGTTTTGTATGATTTAAGAATTTTTCCAAGGAATGTATATGTGGGAAAAAATTCTGAAATATAACGTGGCCTAAGGGAAACAATCAAGTCAATGCACTTTTGGCTGACAGTATTCACCAGTCAACTTCCGGAGTATGTTAAATACGTTTCTTAACAACTCTGAAAGTGTAACATTCTTTACGCATAGACAAATGACCAAAAAATGTGAACAAAACAATTGTTTAATATTTGAGTTTTTATTTGGAGAAAACTTTGTGTTTACCTGTCTAACAAGAACACTGTGCTGGTGAATGAGCCTGAAGGAAAGGACTCTGCAAAATAATAGTGTTTCAGAATTTCAAGAGATTAGGGAGACATTAATTGACTGTTGGAGATGTGATACCATAAAGATTTACTGCTTAATTGAAATTCAAACTTTTAACCAGCAACAGCAGAGCAGCTAGAGTAGTGTCGGGCTGAAGTATTGATCATTTATCAAAAGAACAGCCTCTGTCTTTGCTTGTGGTACTGGTGACTGTGGGGAGAATTAATTCATTTTTACATTCGCGATTCTAACTATGTGTGAGACTATCTTTTTATATCACAAATATGCAAGGCACAATTCTGACATCTTCATTGATAAACTTTTTCTTTTCTTTATTCTAGTCCTGGAATGCCCCCTGGCTTACTTACCTGGATTATTTTCTTTCTCTTCTATTCACAGCTCTTGAGCAGCTAGGAAACAAAGCAGCTTGTTTATTTAGCAAAAATGCAAATGAAAGAGCCTCTTGATAAGTACCCAGCACATTTTCCAGAGCATATTGCTCAGCTAATGAAGGCAATTTGAATTCTGTCTACCTTAAAAGAGATAAACAGTGTCTTAGGCTGCCAGTAACCCTTAATTCATTGTTATCTACTTTCCTATCAATTTGCTAATAGTCATACCTTTTGAAAATTCAAGCTAAAGACCATTAAGTGAATTACAAAATAGTTTTATTAAAATAAACACATTCACACTCACTTATATACACAACCCTAATACAAATAATGCCTTTTTTAAGATTTTTTATTTTCGTGGAATGAATCAGCAACACAGTTAACGTCATTAACTATTTTAAAACATGCAAATTAATTCAAAATAGAAAATATTTATCATGATAGTAGTTTTAAAAAATATACATTGCCTGAATGTGAGTTGGAAAATTTAACTCCAGCAAAATGTTAAGAATCATTTTGAGCAACAATAGGACATTGTTTCTTTGTCTATGGTTAAAGTTAAAATGGTGCTATCAATGTAAAACAAACGTATCACAAGGATTCTTCCTAATCAGACAAGCATCTACAGCAGTAATGTAATTTTAAATGGATACTCTCCAAGCAAAGCAGGTTATCTATTAAAATAATATGTAAAACTTATGACAGAAAAAATATCTAGAGGCATATCCTATTTTAACACATAGTTGCAATTTTGTTAAAAACAATACATTGCAGTGACTCTGCTTGCTGTCAGGAAGTTCACTGCCTAACATGAGGAGATAACCAGGAAGGTTATCAACGCTGTTGTAGCAGGCTGTCAAAAAAAAACAAAAAGAGAAAAATTATGATAAAAATGTCATCTGAGACATCAAAACCATTAAATTCAATTCATCATTCACTATGAAGTGATTGACATCTACATCCAAACTCACTCATTCCTGAGTACACCTAGTTTAAGTTAAATATGTTCATGGTGTGATACTTGAGTCAATGGACAGGACTTAGGCTGACCTTGGAGAGTTAGCTTTCTGTGACTGAGATGTCCATTTGGTGCCATACTACAGAAAACACCTGTGTAGAAGTAAACCTAAGCCTTCTGCAGGTTTACTTCTGCACAGGTTTACCTCAGGTTTGCCTTCCCAACCTTTCCTGCTCATTTTGCAACTGCACTGCTATATAATGTTTCTCAGAGTCCTACAAAATTTGAACTTTGATATTTGAGGAAAGAAAGAGTTAATACTGCATTAGTCCATTCTCAGACTGCTGTGAAGAACTACCTGAGACAGGGGAATGTATAAAGAAAAGAGGTTTAATTGACTCGCAGTTCTACATGCTGTATGGGAGACTTGGCTGGGGAGACCTCAAGTGAACTTAAAATCATGGTGGAAGTGCTAAGGGAAAGCAAGCATATCTACACATGGTGGGAGGACAGAGAGAGAGAGAGAGTGAAGGGAAAGTGCTACACACTTTTCAACAACCA